AGCCAAATCGTAAACACTTTAAAATATCTCAATAGTGTATGTTCAAGACATGTTATAGGCATTACGGAAAATGGGATCTTGCGTTTTCTCGTATTTTCCCCATATGCAGCCAACCTTTCGGTCCATTTCTAGTCGATTTCGTGCCCCGTTCGTGCAATGTGTTCGGTTAATTCGGATCTTTCCGTATCCATATTCCATCAGAGTCTTTGATATTCCTTGATACATAGGCCGATTTTTCTTCCTGTTTCACCGATATCCTTCTGCTCACAGTTGCCGCATTTGATGAGATAAACTCCCGAGCATTCAAGTTTGTCCGTCTTCTCGTGTTGCGTCGGCAGACTGGTGAAAAGTGTTTTCTTCTCCTTTGTTATCACCCTGATGTTCCATTTCCTTAGTAACGGTCGCAATTTTTGGCTCAGTTGTGATGAGGGCAGGCAAATCCACTTTTAGTTGTCATCCTGATTCCTGATCTGATTTTCATAAAATCCGAGTTGAAATATGCCCTTATAACCTCTGCATTTTTTAAATAAATTCTCTGGGGTATCCGTTACTAAGGTAAATCCGTGTCAGTTTGTCCAACTCCTCGTCCCAGAACCCATTGTCCGTTAGTCGTAAGTTTCCGATGATCAAACTCCTCACCATTCCGAACTTCAATCTGCAGTTATGGTGAGACTGAAAATTAAGGATTATTCCTGCATATGAATTTTTTCGGTATAGTCTCCTCATGAATGTTTCTTTAAAGTGTATGACTTTAATACCCACCTTCAATACTCCTCCACCTTCATTGTGAATTTAATTCTTTCATCAAGTTGGTTAATAAAATTGATGAATTCATTAAGATTTTCCTTACCATGTGACCAAAGTGCAAAGTAGTCATCCAAATATCGCAGGAGCACTCTTTGTTGCAGTGGTGACTTCTCGAATTCCCTTTCCAACTGGTTCATGTACACATTTGCCAAAAGAGGTTATAGTGGAGATCCTATCGGTAGTCCAAATATTTGCTCGTAGATACTGCGGTAAAATATAAAATATGTGGTCCTTACTGTCAGGTTGATCAGTCGTGTTAACGATTCTTTTCGTATCCGTTCTGCCTCCCGGATGTCCTCTTCTCGCTCCAATATCTCCAGCAAGGCGCTTACCGCCGTTTTGCCTGAGATGTTTGTGTACATGGATTGTACATCGAAACTTACCTAAAGTTCCGACCCCAACAACCCAATGTTTTGGATCCTTTGAGAAAATTCCTATGAATTCCTGACGGTATTCGAGAGTCTGTCATTTATTTTCTTGAGCTTAAAGCAAATGAATTTCGCTGGTTTATGCATTGCTCCATGCTTGTTGTTGACTATAAGTCTAAGCAGATTTCCTTCCTTGTGTATCTTCGGTAGTCCGTAGGCTGTCGGTGGTCCTGCGTCATTTTTGATTAAGGATTCCATTATCCATCTGTCGATTTCCTCATTTATATGCATTTCCTTGAGCATATTCTTCAGTGTCCCGATGATCTTCGTGGTTGGATCCTTCTTTAGTAGTTAATAAGTGTTCCGGTCGGCGAAGATACTTTCCATTTTCTCCGTGTACTGTTTCCGGTCCATTACAATCGTCGCTCCTCCCTTATCGGCCTGAAGAACTATTTGATCATTCATTTGTAATTTTTTCCGAATACCAGCCAATCTGCTCCATCTTCTCGGCTCTTGATGTGTCAGGATCCGTGGGATTATTACCAGTTCCATCTCCCGCCTTATATCTTCTGGATATTTATCCGTTATGTTGACAACTTCCACCAGAATATCACTAAGAACATTTCCTTCATT